ACATCTAATAAGTATGGTGCTAGTTAAAGTAAACGTATTCCATTCTGAATATAAATGTTATCGTACTAGCCAGTTGATGGCAATCAGTAATTCATCTTAGTGTTCGTCATCATGGTTAGCAATATCCACCAGCATGGATTGTCATAAAAAGAGTCATCTTTAGACTTACAAATTCCGTGGTTAACATAGGATAGATAACTGTAGTCTATAATTAGTGACTATAGGTGACATGGCTTAAAATAGGTTATTTTGCGGTCGATGCATTTATTTTAAAACATTCTCTGAATCTTGTTATTTTATACTGGTCATTTCCCGATCTTATGCTTTGCTGACAGTACTTTGTATATTTATTTCTCTACCAAAATTAATATTATTAACTGGTTGACTGTCTCTGATTTTGTTTAAACTAAAGCTTATTTAATGACTATCATATCAGCTAGTACCCTTCAGACATTCAATTTTTATTAAGTATCATAAAATTAATTGATAGAAGATTTTTACCATTGAGGGTAGATAGTTTAGAACTTAATACTACTCATGTACCACGTTTTACATACAATCACTAGAAAGGTTAGTTGGTTTAGTTCTTATGCAGTAAACATTTAAGTAGTAATAAATATCATAGTGTACGTAACAAATTAAATGTTTCCTTAAGTTATATACACAAATGTGTTTGAGAAACGTTTTATTTATCTTGTCCATAGGTAGACATCTGTGTATATGCATTTCAAACGTTGAATAGTAGTAATAATCCGTATAGAACAGCAAGTGAGTAAAAGTTTTTGCAATTAAGCATCCTGAAATGGTATCCATTTCAGCTGAAATCCCTTTTGAATAGTTAATTCACCTCTGTGAATCTTACCTTAAATAAGAATGTGAGAATTTCATGTATTAAATCAATCTACGCACAAAATTTTATTAGAAACTGACTGCATTTTTGAAGTATTACTTTCTCGAGAAATGGTTGGGGTCAAAAGTTATGAATGCTAAGATGACACTAAAAATAGAGTATAAAATATTAAAATAATTTTAAGCTTTAAATTTCCTCAGATTATTTCGAGTTTTATAAATGTTAGAGGTTTTTGTAGTTTTTCAGATAATCGTACTAGCTTAATGTTAACTGGATATATGTATAGTTTGAGTCTCAGTACTTGAGATTATGGAGATTTGTAGCTCGAGTGGATGATTTTTGTGAAGTTTCGAGGCGTCACTTTTATTGTAGTTTAATCCTTTTCTGAGTAAGTGTTCTATGTTTGTCAGCGGTTGCTATGACAGCTTGACCACCCATTTGTTTGTGTTTTCTTCCGTGGGTGGTTATGAAATCTCGATTAGCTTTTTCTCAAGGGTGTTTCGTCATTGCTCTCTGTGTTGTCTATATGATATCTCTATGGCTGTTGTCAAGATTGCCAAATATTCTGACGTAATTATCCTCTCTAGCTTCCTCTTTTTGTTATCCATGATGTGTTGGTATTTGTGGATTCTATATTGTGCATCAGTTATCATTATGTGTGCCGTTTTTCTTCCACTTTGTCCAGCTATTCTCCAGTTAAAAGATTTGCAGCCAATAAATGAAGAAAAGAAAGGATGGTTTAAATCAAAGTTAGTTGATATTGCCAACCAATACTTTGTGTCATCGACACCAAAGTCGAATATTCTATCCAAAGAACATCTAATAGCCCTCAGAAACATCAAACAAAATAATGAGGTGATGGTTTTACGACCAGATAAAGGTTCAGGTGTCGTCCTAATGAATACAGCTGATTATATCACTAAGATGAAGTCAATCCTCGACGATCAACTGAGGTTTAAGATAGATAAATCCAAAAAAGATTTGACTGATTCAACAGAAAAACGAGTCACAGGCATGCTTAGAGAACTCCTAAAAAAGAAAATGATTGATAATTCTACTTACAATGATCTAAGACCACGTGGTTCACGCCTACCACATATGTATGGCTTACCAAAAGTTCACAAACATGACGTTCCCCTTAGACCTATTCTATCAATGATCAACTCACCGTACCACAAAGTTGCACGGTGGTTAGCAGTAAAACTAGAGCCGATTCGTCGGAGATTAGCAACATATACGTTAAAAGATTCATTCCAGTTTGCTGATAGACTAAATCGTATGAATGTTGCCGATAAGTTTATGGTTTCTTTTGATGTCACATCCTTATTCACCAATATACCACTCTTTGAAACTATTGACATAATTTGTCAGAATTATGATCTCCTACCTTTACCAGCACCAGAATTCAAAAAACTACTATTAATGTGCACAACAGACGTCCAATTCCAGTTTAATAACACCATATATCGTCAAATCGACGGCGTAGCAATGGGAAGCCCACTAGGTCCAATTCTGGCAGATATTTTTATGGGATATCTTGAAAACATGGTGCTTAATCAGGCGATTAACGAAACGACGGAATATTCCAGATATGTTGATGACACGTTCATTGTCTGCAACAATAAACAGCATGCAATCCGCCTGCTAGAACTCTTCAATAATGCACATCCAAACATTCAATTTACTATGGAACACGAACAGAATGACATGTTCCACTTTCTCGATGTTGCTATAAAACGTAGGAGAGACGGGACAGTCCAACGTTCGCTTTATCGAAAAAGTACTTGGAATGGCCTTTACCTGAATTTCAATAGTTTTTGTCCACTCAACTACAAGAAGGCACTAGTTAAAACACTATTTTATAGGGCAGAAAAGATTTGTACCACTGACAAGCTGGAAGAAGAATTGATGAACGTACAAAAATGCCTACGAGACAACTATTACCCACAAAAGTTTATTGAAAAATATAAAAAGCGTAAAGAAAATAATACTGAAGTAATTACTGTCAATAAAAAACCAATAACTATAAGTCTTAATTTCAAAGGTGACGATGTTGCTAACACAATCAACAGGAGACTAAATACTGCGCTAGCCAGAACCTATCCAGCGGCGAAACTTCAAATTCTTTATAAAACAACATGTTCATTAACTCAATCAAAGGTTGATAAGCATCCTTTTCATGTTACCGCCAATTGTATTTATAAATTTACATGTACCTGCCAAAGCAGCTACATTGGCCGAACAGAAAGGAGGGCATACCTCAGATTTTTTGAACATGTCCCAAAAAACCTCAGAATAAGAGAAAGAAAGACTCTAAGTAGCGCAATCACTAAACATCTGCTTGACACAGGCCATCAGGTTGACACCCTACAATCATTCAAGGTTATTAGTAAGCAGCCAAACTCCAGTCTTCTGAAGTTTGCTGAAGCAGTTGCTATCAGGCGCCAAAAACCTGATTTATGTGTTCAGAAGGAGATGATTGTTAATCTTTCCCTGCCTTGGTGACAAATATTCTTCCGCTGCAGCTTAAAAAAAAAATAAAATTTTATTTTTTATATTTATTACGTCATTGATTTTATTTTTTCAACTATCTTTATAAAAAAATTAAGTCTTTCAACTGAACTCTACTCACTATGTTCCTATCAATGTTTATTCATTATGTAATCAATTGTTTCTACCTCTTTGAACTGTTGTCACAATTAATGCTCTAGAACATTCTTTCACATTAGGTATATATTTACAATATTCAGCCTATTAATTCATTTACACCCATGTCATACTTTACGAACATTTCTTAAATATAAACCCTCTCATGTAAGCAATTCAAACCCATTATGTAATTTTTATCTTTTAAATATTATAGGTTGTAAGCAGCTGACGAGAACCTACGAAATAAAATGAATTCATGTTATTCTGCTAGAATCTTTGTTCTTGCTCTTTTCAAAATGATAAAGGGAACTATGTGTATGAAATATTCTCCATCCCATTGGGCAGTTGATTGGAGGTCTTTATCTTACACTTGTTAGCAGTATATGCTGACGAAAACACTCGTAACGAAAATGCAGTTGTTCTCAAGTGGATCGATTTCCAATTTATCGACCAGTCAGAGAAATTATAGACAAATATGGGATCGAGAATTAAATCATTGGGAGATACAATCAAAATAAACAATGACAGGTTAGAGATCGAGGTCTACATGACAAGCTGTGAGCTATATATGTGGAGAACTTCGACCACTTCTACTTGAAGTTTGTATTGATGTCGTTCAGAAGAAGATTAAAAAGCTCCATGACTGAACCATCCAGCTCAGGAGAAAAACCCCACTACACTCTTTGTGTTTTGATCACTATCCAATATAATGGATGTAACTTCACTCATCAGTCAGTTACAATGCAGGACCAAGCACATATATGCATCGTTCCGAGTTGCCACACCTCATTAGCACTGATCTCGAGTGCTGTTAGAGGTATGAGATCAGTTATCACTTCCCGGTTGCCCACACCGTGGAAGGGTTCTTCTGGAGTTACCTGAAAAGAAAATTGGGTTAGGGGTGGTCTTAGTGACCTGAGAGCCTGACCGCAGTGCCCAAGGTACAACTGATTGAGGTCGGTCACACACGACCTTTATGTGAGTAATTTCCGTGTTAGCTGCGTATTTATTGGACCTTACCGCTGGAGACGGAGGCGAGTTGTGCATTTTTAGGGTCAACCTTTTCTAACTCTGCCCTTTCTTTGTGGGAAGGCAGCATCGTTGCTATGCTGGTTGTCTGAAGGAAATACCTTACTGCCATCACACTTTTGTACAGTCAGCAGTATGACTTCGCATTCGGACTTTCGGCTAGCTGATTTTCGTTTTGCCGCTCTTCAACCGACCTGTCTGGTACGGTAGGACCTTGAGGAACTGTTGTTCCATGCAGTATAGCTTGATTGGTTCATTACGACAGCCAAGCCCGACCACCATATCAAGGTAGCAGCAACGGTCAGGAACTTCATTCATCAAATGAGACCTCTGTCTTTCTGTTATCTTAATCAGCGATTCCTAAGAATTCAGTCTGTTTTCCTTTCGTAAACAATTACGAGGACAATATGTTGTATTTTTTTACGCAGATTTTTGCCAATCATTCAGATTATTTTTTTGGTTTTTATTTCAGCTTCACTGTCGGAAATACAAAGGAAAAACATGCGTTTTTATAGCACTGTGTTTCTTTGCAGCATTCCTATATTTCACTAAACATTATATCGTCAATGATGTAATAATAAGGATATCCGATTGGAAGTGGGGTCCAGCTGATAGTCAGAATTGTCCAGTATTTGATCACTCTAAAGAAGACCCTACTATTAATCGTATGGCAGTTTTAGTACCGTTTAGAGACCGTTTCACTGAATTGCAAGAATTCATACCTCATTTAAACAACTTCCTCAATAATCAAAACGTTCGTCATACATTTTTTATCATTAATCAAGTGGATGATCTTCGGTGAGCTGAATTCCGAAACATCTTATGTCTAAATAATATATGATTATTTGTTATATATATATATATGGCTTGAATTGAAGTTAGTTGTGGCCACACTGTGACGTGGCACCGGTCCATGAATTCATTGACTGTTTATTTATGCCATGTAACTAAATTTGAGCTCCCTGGTTCGGATCTATGTGATAATCTCAGTCAATAATTAGTGACATTTATCAGAACCGTTCGAAATGGTGCCCATGCATTCTCCAAGTCTTCGGATTCAATATGAATTTATTCCTACATTTTCACTCAGTGGATACAAGGTCCTTATGGAACTGGAAAGAACTAGAAATGATTTCTCAGGATAGAGTTAGGTGGAGAATGCTAATGAGTGGCCCATGCTCTTTCATGAAGGGTAACTGGCGTAAGTATGTTTTCACTCGGTGTTTTGTACCATATTCTCAATGTTCATTCTTACTCATAATTATTGCTACCACATTACTTCGATTTCTTTGCTATTTATCTTGTTAATTTTGTATTTTCGTACTGTTGTTTGTCAACGTGGAATACAACACATTTTTTCGGGCTCGACGTTTGTTGTGCCTGGCATACATTATATACGCTAGCAAAGCCATATAAGATATATTATTATAAACAGTCTTAATAATTTATTTCAGGTTTAATAGAGGAGCTTTGTTAAATGTAGGAGCACTTGAGTCACTTGAAGCTGAAGTTAATGGAATTATTGTTGAAAGTATTACTCAAAAAAATTCATTGTATCAGTTATCTTCACAATGTTTAAAACTTCCTTTTACAAAATATTTGGCTTTACATGATGTTGACTTACTACCTGAAGATCCGGCATTAAAATATAATATGCCATCGGAATTAGGACCGATTCATCTTATTCCATTTTATCTTCATCCACGTTATTATTATTTTAAAGAATATGCCGGTGGTGTTTTAATCATTAAAAGAACTCAATACAGTTTAGTTGGTGGTATGTCAAACTCATTTTGGGGATGGGGACGAGAGGATGATGAATTTCAGATACGTTTAAAATCGAAAGGATTTAAGGTAATAATAATCAGAATTCATATTGATATTAATTCACATATGAATTTCTTTTCTGTTTGAAATAAAACAGTTCTTTTACTTTTGATTTTGTTTTCAGTTAATGTTAGTAAATTCGACTTGGCAGATTAATCAACAAACTGTATTTGGTATAGTATTTTATTGAGGTTTCCCGTTTATTAGTTTATTAGAAAGCTGCTTTCGGAACAAATAATTCGATGATACCAGTATTCACATAGAATTCAGCCGTCCTCCATGCACAAATTTGCAGTGTAGTCCACTGTATGACTTCCGGATGATGTTGGCGACTTTCCCAGGTACACCATAGTGTTGAAGGTTCCATATCGTTATATTCACATTGTCAAATGCTTTCTCATAGTCAATGAAATTGATGTATAGTGACGAATTTCATTCCATTGATCAGTAGTGTCACTGTTTTGACTGTGCATGACCGGTCCCCACGGAATCCGTCCTGTTGTTCTCAATGTTAAGCGTTTACTGAATCTTTCATCCGGTTCAACAACACTGCTGAACACTTTTCCAAGTACTGATAGTCTTGTGACGAGCAGTGTCCGGAATCTGATACTGATGCATGGTTTGCTACGTGCTAACCTCCTAATTGAAAACTTGAGCAGGAAAGTATATATATATACCATTCTAATCTTTAAGAAATTGATCCATTTCATAGCCAATGAAATGCACCTAACATTTAGATCACTTCTGATTGCCATCAATTAACCTTATGATTAGACTTATTGTTATTTAAACGCAAACATTGGCACAAGGAGGCACCAAATAGATATGCTCCACATAAGTCGTCCGATTTGTGTGATACTGCTCGGGTTGCCTAAACCGAAACAAGTGGGTTTTTTCGAGGGGCATACCCCTAGCCTTTGACCTTAAAGTCTAATCCGCAAGGCGGTGGAGCAACGTAAATAGATGCAGTCCCATGGTAGCCGGTGACCAACAATGGCTTCTTATGTCGTTTGTTTCCTTAGTATCCTGGAGCCCATGTGCACCACTGGTTTGGAAACAGGTTTTTCGAAATCCCCATTGTGGATCCTCCATATCCACCGAAAATTTTTTTCGCACTTTCAGTTTCGTAAACAACACCCCTGCCGCGAGAAGGCAGTGGTTGTATGCACGTGGTTATATGAGAAAATTTCGAGAGTGAGAGTTGACTCTCCGCCGTACCAAGGCAGATAGTAGTGTGATGTCTCCGTAGTTTTATGAAGCTGTTTTGTTCAAGGGTTCTTCAGAGTGTTCCACACACCTATGCTTCTCTACTTGAATTACAGTAATCGGTTTGCCTTCTTTATCCTTGCCCGGACTTTTTGGCTTAACATATTTCCCTACTGGCTTCATTGTTCTGTCGTAAAGTTGTCTCAAATTTCCTTCAATCTCAGCTTTTTCCACTGTCGTTGCTGTGTCTTCCACGTATTTCCGTTTGTCAGCTCTTGTGCTCTTCCTTACTTGTGTGTTTGCTTCTGTGTGTTCATTATGCGACTTGAATTTCTCTGATCTAGTTCGGCTGTTTTTAATTGCTGTCTTCTTGCTCTTCCATCCTTGGATCTTGTTCACTGTTTTGATAGAGATCCATTTCTGATAATAACGCTTGATTCGGTCCAGAATGTCATGAAAGGTTGAAGTTAGTGCTTGCTCCACCCCTTCCCAATTGTCCCCTGTATCAGTTTCTTCTTATTTGAGTAGATATTGTAAGGCTTGAAACCTGTTGTTGAGAGCTAACTTGAATTCGTTGAGTCTGCTAGTATGTCGAAGGAAGGCTGTGTTGAACCTTTGTAATGCTGTTTCTCCAGTTGTCCAGTGTTTCTTTAGCTTCAGTTTTATCTCGGCAACCACCAGCTAGTGGTGATCTGAAGCTGTGTCAGCTCATCTCCTGGTTCTCACGCCTTCCATCGATCATTGACCTTCTGAATTATTTAGTAATGCAAATCTGATCGACCTGGTTCTGTGTAATGTGATTCGGTGAAACCCATGTAGCATTGTGTATGTGTTTGTGTAGGAATATTGTGTCACCCATAACCGTCTTGTTGAATGCACATAAACTTGCGAGCCTGTCACTATTCTCGTTCCTTTCTCCCATTCACTCCATGTTATCTTGGTGCCCGGTGTTGTCCATTCCGACATCGTGGTTTAGATCTCCCATTAGGATGGTTAGGTTCTTCCTGGGACACTTTGCTATGATCGATTGCAGCCTCGAGTAGAACTGATCTTCATCATGTTCATTGCTATCATTGTTGGGTGGATAACATTCCTTGTGATTCCCTCCTTTGTCTTGAATGATGCTTTAATGAGTTTAAATTCATGAGATTTCCATTCTATGAGTGCATCAGTGCAACTCTCTGTGTGTGCAGAGCATTTTCTTACTCGTGATAAGAGTACGACAGCATCGCTGCCAAATCTAACCTTTTCTGTCGAGCTGGGGTCGAATGGATTTCACTTATTCCTAATACCTCCATGTTGTATCTCCCTATTTCTGATATTATTTGATTGGTCTCGCTGGTTTCATCGTAGGTATCATAGGAAGAAGTATTCTTTCTCAATATGTGCAACCTTAAGCAACACTTGAAACTGTTAATGCTTAGTTCCAGAATGTCCTGTTGGCTTACAAACATATATCCGTTAAACATGTCACTTTGTTTTTGTCTTTTTTGCAGACATTTTTATTTAACTAAATAATTAATTTAATTCACTTTCCGCCTATCATTTGAATTCACATATCATACTGATTAACAGTACTGGTAGATTGTACGTATGTGACCTCTTCATTAGGTCTTCTTTCATTACTAATCATTTATGAATCTTCTGTCGATCGTCTTTATCAGGTTGTTTAAATGTAAAACTCTTGGGAGTTTTGATTAAAGAAACTTCTAATATAGACTACGTTTTTATTATTTCTCATAAAACTTTTGAATTGAAAATTGATGACCCAGTAATAAATGTCCTCACTCTACCTCAAACTTGTAGTGCACCAGATATTTTTTGTGCTTTACTTCAAATAAAAAATATAGACAAATGTTTGAGGAATAAACATCATGTTGGAAAATTTATAAATTTGATTGATTCCAATGATTTTGGACCGAGTATTCGATGGTGATGCATTTAAAATAGCGTTTTATTTGTTATAAAATAACTTCTTGTAGGTCACTTTAACTGATGTCAACTTTCAGATACCATATTCACACTTCACATAGCTGTCCTTGACCACCTAAATTGTACGACCTGGTGCATAATATATAAACAAATATTTAATTACTGAGTTCTATTATTCGCGTTCTAACTGTAAAAATATACTAACGATTAAATTCTAAGGACTTTGCATTATTTCCTTGTCTATGTTCAGAACTAAGTCATAATTAATTGGCATATATTCATCTTCAGCGGATTCCTTGATACACGATCTTTATTAAAAGTCACGGCACACTCGCATTGTGGTTAGTAATGAAACCCAAGATGCGTGTTTCGTCTTATTTGGGATTCGTCAACGTGGTGCACACTTAGCTAGAGTTTAAAGCGATAGGCACTAGGTTCAGGTGTCAGTGTTAATACAATACTAATATTGGGGTACAATTACATTTGGTTGGTGTGTGCAACCACGACTAGAAAATTACGACCAGTCTCCGCACGTAAAATGAAGTGAGTGCTCCAAGTCGACCCGAAATAAACTCATGAACGCACCTCGACGGGATTACGGAATTCAGTAGAAACAATGTATAATTATGCAACCTAGACAACTTCTCGTATATATATTAGAGGGCAAAAGAGCACTAATTAGTTACGGGAGTGAATCTCGATCCATAGACAACAACCAAGACAATACAGAATCCACGGCTGATGTCTCCAGGACGTTCTTCACTCAAGAGCCACCTCTTAACAAGTGACAAGGGACAGAATTAGTGTCATTGAGGACCTAGGATAAGGAGACGTGTCAAAAATAATGAGTTCTTTAAACCCGAAAAGTTCGACGGGACGGAATAAGTTATGTCATAAAATCGTGAGACAAATTGCACCACATATTTCTACCCTGTTCATTACATTATTCAGGATGTCTTTCAGACAGAATGGGTTGTCTGTAAACTGAAAATGTGGATTGGTGAGATTTCAATTTAAAAATTACGTACAGACTACAAGCTTCTCTTTCAAAGGTCATATCTTGAAAAAATTACTGGCAATAGCTGTTCGTATAATTCTACGTTTTTGAGGCTTGACATACACAAGGGATGCTGATAATTCAGACTTCTTTACTCGTTCACACTACAAACGTTGAAATGACCTGATTGTGATATATAGAATATTACGGAATGGCTTTATACAGACTACATACTAACTTGTTTTTGCAGTTGATCTCCCCAGCCAATAATGAACTAAATACCCGGGATGTGAAGCTTCACACAGGATAATACCAATTCCACTATAAGTGCAGCACAAAGCCATTTAAATAGGCCCCTGAACTGTTGCACAAATGCCTAAAGTTTGTCTAATAAGCGACCAGATCTAGATGTACAGATAGACTCTACCAGGCCGAATGTATTCACAGCCACTTAGCCGCTGCAGTCTATAGACAGTATGGAGCTTGAATTCGAAGGTTTCACGTCAGTAAGAGCGGACACAATGCAGGAGTGTAAAAAGGAGTAGCCATATTCATTAGGAACATCATCCTATTTACCATAATTGATAATGTATCCCATTAGAGTGAAGTGTGAAATAGTTAGTTGCAGCCTGAAGTACAAGGGACAAGAGCTGCTGAATTGATTTGGTATACAGGAGACCGAGCAGTGAGGCAAATGAGGTCTTGCTAGACGGTCTCAATAGATACGTTCAAACAAAAAGTAGTTGTCTACACCAAATTAATCTGAATGTTTAACTGAAGGAATCCAGCTCCCAGGTTCTATATTGTTTAAGTATTTGTAAGGTACCAAATGTATATAGACATAGTGTAACGTGATTAAAATCATTATGTATGATGTTGTTAATAGATTTTGTTTTCTTTCTATTGCAGGGCAAGCAAGAATAAACGCTTTAGAAGAAGAAGAGCAAGCAATGCACGCACTAAACTTACAGGATGATTCATAAGACCGTTTTGTAAACTAGCTATCTTTCTGTACAGAACCCGCGAATTTTAATTTTTAAATAAACGTCTATTGGCCTCCCTTCCTCGTTCTCTCTGTGGTGTAAAGTGTTCAGTTAACATTGTGTGTGTTGTGGCTTTAGGTCTTCCCGTCTTCCAGTGACTGCTGATTACACGTGTTACAATAGAGACCTTGAAGGACAGTCGCGTAGTTGGTTAACCCACATACCATTCCCAAGGACAAATATAGGACTCAATTATTAGTCTCTACTGTCAAATTTTCTCTATTTGGTTTGTTGTTTGCTAGATCTGACATCATATTAAGTTCTGCTTTTTCTTTGTGTTCTATCACGTATATATATATATATATATATATATATATATATATATATATATATATATACATGCCTCATTTCAGAAACAGCTTTTAGAACCATGTATATATATATATATATAACGTATGTCCATTCTTCTTGTTACACATGGTTCTAAAAGCTGTTTCTGAAATGAGGCATGTTGGCAGAGGGGCTTTGACGTACAAAAGTGGCAGTATGAGAAACCATTAGCCTAATACCTGAGGCTTGAAAAAACCAGTGAATATTTGAAACTTTATCTAGTGTCTGTCAAAATCATTTCTCAAGACTTCTAAGGCTTTATGTTTTATTTGTGCTTTGGCCAATTGAAGTGGCAAAGTAGCATGTAAACTATCTCCATAAAAAGTCAGATGTCGAAACGTGAAATTTAAACGTTCGAACACTGGAAAACAAATTGTGACCTCAATCGTAAACTTTTGTAGAGAAACTTCACTTCGAATATTCGACTGTTGATATTGTTGGTTTTTATTGTCTTACATATTATTGATGTGTCTTTATCAATATATACCGTAAGTGACGAAGATTATTGATTTTCTGCCTGAACAATTTGCACTTCACTTTCCATGTCAGTTTTGCGTTACCGACTATTTTGAAAACTGATTTTTACGCACAATGTAGTCATAACTTTCTGATTTCCGCTTTTAATATTTAGTCTGAATTAATCGATTCCGACAAATCATTGTATGCACAGATGCCTAGTACATTATGGAATCCGATTTTTCCCATACTGAGTAGGGAGTTTAGTTGCCGTAGTTTCAACTTAATTCGACACTTCGAGCCGCAGGTGAGTTTGAGTAAATTTGTCGTAATATTTAACACGTATTCTCTGGAATCCCTTTTTTATGTTTTTTTCAAAATAGCTTACAGCCTGCTTCTCGCGAGTCAGTATTTCACGGGCTTAGAACACTACATAGTATGAAGGAAGCAGATAGTTCGGACGCAATCAGAAGTAAACTTATTCTTACATAGGTGACTTAACCTCTTTTTTAAGATGAGAACAAAAATCGCCCGGTTTTAAAATAATGAGGCACGCTGTTTCCGAACAAACTAGTCTATTCCGTAGTCAGAAGGTCGCCACCATTCTTAGAGAGGGCCGGAGATAAGACATCTATCCTGGCCTGGTATTCGTGGCAGGAGTTGAAGTTCCTTATAAACTTCTGCCGTGTTAGATGGATTAATCGACACTGACCAGGGAGAACAGCGAATTCCGATTGATGTAACCATACTCCATTAATAAAGAGAAACGAAGTCAAACCAGGAAGAATAAGCATCGAAGATACGATCCGAGAAGAAAATATAAATTCGTAAAATCAAAACAAAAGAAAGTTATGAGGAATTTAGAATCTCGGAATTTGGATGGTGACAAAAGAAGAATCATGTACGCAACTACAAATGATTTTGAGCCGTACCATCCAAAGTCTCTGACCATTGGTTACGATAATCACGCGGACCCCAACCAGGTCGTTTATACCTATTAATATGGCTAAGTCCGGTTATCGGTAAATTCACGAACTGATGCCATGTTTTTGTTTGGCCACCTTTAGCTTTCTTCCAGCCTACTCCTGCACCAGCAAACATCTCCCATCACAGGTTGGTAAGAGCCAATCGAGCCTTCTGAATCCGTGCCGAAATTTCGTCAGATTCCAAACCAACAAAACTGGTTTAACTCGGGAAGCTTAGTGCTAATGTCCCGATAAATAGACCACCTTATTAAAATGCTTTTAAGCCATTACTTGAGGTTATGATTTATTGATCTTGAGACAAGGTTTCCGATCACATCGCCACATTTCGCTTTTGATCCAGGTATATTAAATGTATCATTTTGTGTTAGATCAGGTTCGAGAAATTGCACCTTGAAATTGAAGGTCTTAAATTATTTAGAATTGAAGGTTTCGAATTTTAAATAATTCAAAACCAGTTTTTGATTCAATCTACCTTGAATATTCATTCTAAAAATGGACCCTTAATAATGCCATAGAGTGAGCATATCTTTTATCTTCTCAGTGCAGTGAGCTCTACAACTTCTTGAGGTCCTTATCACGACAGCTGTTCATTGTATGGTACTTACTTCTGTCGACTTCTAACTAAGGATTTATGCAAGCAGGTTGACACATAAGTTGTTATTACTTACTTAAGCGTTGTTTATCTTTGATATTGCGTTGACTTTTATCTATTTTAATAATCGTGTGAGAATACTCTGTAAGCACTAGAAGATGGCATTTTCAAAAATTCGGTCATATATGTCAATCACTTACAAATCACACTACGTAAAATTGGTTTTTATTTTGTCAACTGTATTTTTAAAAAACTTTGCTTGTTGTTTAAGCTGTTCAAAATTTTCTTGAAAAATTATTATTTCCCCATAAGTACGGAGCTAACACGAAAATTACTCACATAAAGGTCGTGTGTGACCGACCTCAATCAGTTGTACCTTGGGCACTGCGGTCAGGCTCTCAGGTCACTAAGACCACCCCTAACCCAATTTTCTTTTCAGGTAACTCCAGAAGAATCTTTCCACGGTGTGGGCAACCGGGGAGTGATAACTGATCTCATACCTCAGACAGCACCCAAGATCACTATTCATATTCAGTCTCCGTCTTCAATTCCTATTATTCCTCCTAAGTCATCTTTCAACTCTAAACTTGCTCTTTTGACTTCCTCCGCAAGTGTCACCATGGCCAACGCTTCTAGTGCGCGAGACACTGTCCCAGGTCTACTGAAACCTCGCTCCAAACTACACATTGGAGCCTTCAATGTACGTACTCTATGTCAAATCGGTCAAGTTGATGTAGTTATCCGATACACCTTTCAGTGAGACAAAACCATAGAACCTCATGATCAACGGGATTTGACATCGCCTTGTGGTCAACGAATACAACTATACTCGGACATCAGAAAGTACGTCTATGTTACTGAATCTGCCGAAGGGTGAATAATTGATCTGTACATCCACCCTCAGGTCTGAACCCAGCCTAATTTCCTCGGGTTTGCTCTACATGAGCTATAGTTAGACGTCGATGTATTATTGAGGCTAACATTTTAGACACTAGATTAGTTAAACTGTCTCCTCACAAGAGGATTATTATCCCTTCTTCTAGATTGGGATGATCAGTGATCAAGACCTGCCAAATGAAATTACATCCAGACCCGAGATTGTAGCTCGGATTTAGTTAGTGTAACTGCCAAAACTGCACCACCATCCCTAACAATCTCAGGGGTTAGTCCATCGTACGATTTATGTATGTTGTGTCTCGGAAACACGCGTACAGGATCCTAGTGTTGTCATTCACTTGACCTCACCTCACCAAAATGGAGAGCCGACGAGATAAGCTCTCCATCTATCTGGCGACCCGATGGCTAGTTCTCGTGGACTGGCAGGTGTTGGCATAGGACTAAGTATGAGGGCAGAACAAGCACTATTAGAATGGGTCCCCGTTGATGGTCGCCTATGCGTTGTTCAGCTAAACGGCTTTGTGAGAACTCGGAAGGATAGGGACACACGTCACTGCCTTTTCGTCGTTCCTGCCTACGCTCTCACGGACTGCAGCTCGGATGAAGTGAAAGATGACCTTTACAGAAAGCTTTCCGAACTTATCCATAAAGCTACCCGCTCAGACAGTACTCGTAGCAGGTGACTAGTGCCAAGGTAGGTAGCTTAAACCAAAACAGCAGCGACATTCATTAGTGATTTAAACCAAAGGGTTACGAAGAACAAATGGGTTTCTACTAGGTCTCTTTCATTGATAGATTCTCGTAAACTCATCCCATCAGGCTCTGAACATGATGGGGAGTGAAAACAAATCAGATTTAAATTAACCAAGAGTCTAAGGAACGACCGTGAGCAGTGGTGGGTAACGAAAGCAAAAGAGATAGAAAAGACAGCGGCTGTAGGTAACACCAGACAGCTTTTCAGACTAATAAATTCAACTGGAATTAAGAAGTGATGTGTGAGACGATCTCAGAAAAAGACAACACTTATCCGCTTTCAGCCCAGACATTTAGAACGATGAGCGGAACAGTTTAAGGAGCAGTTCATCTGACCTTCAACTACTCTACAACTACCCACCGTTCCCAGACAGCCTGAATGGAACATTGAAGTAGTCCAAAAAGCTATAGCTAATCTGAAACTAGGAAAGGCAGATGGATTGGCTCCAGATGTCTTTAAGTATGGTGGTTTAACTTTAGCGATTAGGTTGACTAATATTTTAGGTGAAATCTGGAAACTGGATGTAAACCCATCTGACTGGTCTCAATCACTGATTGTCCGAATATATGAGAAGGGGTCAAAGTAATCCTGTGATAACCATAGAGGAATTAGTTTGACTAATATAGCATCTAAAATACTAGCCTCAATGATTATTGGGTACCTGACAAAGACTCGTGAACTGTAAACACGAGAAAATCAGGCTGGCTTTGAGCCTCGCCATGGCTGCATAGACTACATATTTACCATTCGTCAGATTTTAGAATACAGACATGCTTATCGGCGTCCGACAATGGTGGTCTTTCTTGACTTAAACTCAACATTCGACAGTGTTGTCATTGAAGGATCTACCTTGGAAGTATATAAATTTTGTGAAGTCTCTTTAATCAGTCACCACCATCTGAGTCGGAGTTATGGTGAACGACAAAGTTGTTCACTGTCTCAAGTTTTGTTCAACTTCATTATAGACATACTGATGGAAATAATGTTCTTGTCGACTGAATTTTCAGGAATCGATCTCCTATTAGGAGGTTCATTTATTGACCTAGAGTACTCTGATGACATAGTATTTTTTGGTGAAGACGCTGATAAAGTGCAGTCTTTCGGTAGCACTGAGCAACAACACAAGGATGTTTGGGATGTGTTTCTCCCCTCTAAATGCAAGTTGTTGCTTCAGGACTGGTCTGCGTCAACACCTGAACTAAGGATAGGGAGTGAAATAGTTGAACGCGTCGACAGCTTCACTTATCTTGGAAGTCTGATCAGCCCTAATGGGTTGGTGTCTGCCAAAATCTGCACGGATTCAGAAAGCTCATTTGGCTTTTGCCATCTTGCGCTACATATGGCGAAGGTGACATATCCGTCTATCAATTAAGGACGAGTATACTGAAGATGAACACTTAGTTGCGTCAACTATTACATCACTAAAATTGAACTGAATGAATCGCCCTTAATGGTTGTTGTTATATATATATATATATGACCTGTTAGTTCGTTATTGAGGACAATAAATTTCGGTTGGGGTATTTGTAGTTAAAAATGATTGTTTCTATGCAGTCAGTTACAAAGTAGGACCAGGCACATGTGCATCGGTCCAAGTTGCCACACCTCATTAGCACAGCAAGATGAACACCAAATTTATAAAAGCAATTAACTCAATGGTGTAAAAAAAGGGAAGATTGCGTATAAGGATATAGTACAGGAAGAAAGTCAGTTCGTAGAAAGAAAGATATGAAATAATTTTAGTATCATAGGTAAAGGGAAGACAAAGAGTGTATACACCGACGCCATTGTGATCGATTCTGAGCCATGTCACCCAGAGTCTCCAACCATTGGTTACGAAAGACACGCGGACCCCAACCAAGTGGTCTGCATTTACCAACATGGCTAAGACTTGAAGTTAGTGACTTCAAGCACTAATGCCACGTTTTGGGTTGGCCGCCCCTAGCTTTCTTCCAACCGTCCTCAACACCAGTTAGCTTTGCGCGTCGTGGGAATCGGTGTTCAAGCATACGTAATACGTGGCCCAACCATTTCAGTCGATGAAGATTCACAAACTCATCAACTGATTTACCATCGTTCCCTAATACCCTGCATCTAACTTCACTATTAATTACCCGGTGATCGACCAAATGCCCTGGTATGACTGAGAGTGGGGTGGGCTCGGCCTCCCTCTCGAAATCCTCTCACACGGTCACGCGTACACAGCCTCTGCCAGGGAAGTCCTACTCACTGCCTTCTCGTGGCGGGGGTGTTGTTTAAGAAAATGAGAGGACGAAAAGCGAATGTCCGGCGCTTTAACCGGATCCCAAACTAATGGTGCACATGGGCTCCAGTATCCTGGGGGAACAAATGGCGTATGAACCAATTTATGGTCACCAGCTTCCACGGGACTGCATCTCCTCACGATGCTCCACTGCCTTGTGGATCGGATCTTCAAGTCGAAGGCTCGGGGAGTGACCCCCTAAGAAAACCACCTGCTTCGGTTTGGGCACCCGAGCAGTATCACAGCCCTCACACATATCGAATGATATTTGTGCGGCGCATATGTCTTTGGTGCCTCCTTGTACCAATATCTGTGTTAAAATAAATAATAGTTGCAATAGACGGTCACCATTATCTGTTCGCCGAGCCGTAACGTCGTAAAAACCACTCCATTTCTTTCGGTTTTGTTTAGTTCGTTTACCTGGGCACTCAAATCACTTTCCATTTGTATTAAGGTATCCAACCTTAAGCTAAACGCCCTGTAGTAATTCATGCTCATCACAACCATGTGGTGTTAACAAATCATGAAATCATTTTCAAAAGGTTTTCGGGCCATAGGGTATTATAAACCAGCTGTACGCAATACTTGCAGTCAATAAATTAGTCAATCATGTCTTATTGCAATGGGGTTTCTGTGTTGTTTATTTTATAGAAAATTTTAATCATTGTATATTACTATAATTGGATGTTATTCGTTCGTTTAGACACCGAAAGAAGTCGGACCAAATGACCGGAACAATCGCCTTTCTAAGTCGTATGAATTGATGATGCGAACCGTACAAAACAGAGTAGGTCCGACCCAGAGGCCTCGCAAAAGACTATACACCATATTGCTTTCTCGTCGAGAGAACAAAATGTCGGAATCAGTTAGGATGTCCACTCCCGAAGGGCGGGCGCTCATTTTTAAGAGACTAATTGATGGACAAAAACGTTTGTGGCCGCATGCTTGGTAGTTTGTTTGCTTCAACTTCCCAGACATATTTTTGAAAATTTGTGTACTTCTATTTCACTCTATCTTCAAATATAGTGCGTATCAACGACTGATTGATTTTTTAAACCATGTTTTGGATTGACTTCATGAGGTAAGAAAATAAGGGTGAATTTTCATACTTATGTGAAAGCAGTAGTAAGGGGTGTCGCCAATTGGTTGTTCCAGCTGAAATCAATCCACAGCATATGCCGAAATTTATAATTAAGAAATGCGAACGGACATTAATTAATCTTTGCTTCTAAGTTTCCTTTTGTGTTACGTCAACTAGCAGATTATTCTCAAAAAACAATACTTTTCTGCGGTGACTGAAAGTCTTATTACTGAATACGACAGAATTTAGTGTTTTCGTGTTTCGAGTAACCCACTTCAGATAAACCACATCGTTTTTACTAAGCAAGTGGTCTCAAAACGAACTGGAAGACAAAATGGGATTTCAAATTATAATAAATGTGTAATTAAAAACCACAAACCAGTTGTTGTCAATAAACCATTGCGTAAAGAATATTGTTTCAAAAGTAAGACTGAATGAAGAGAAGAATGTTTCCAACAACGAGTATATTCAGTTAATTATTTATTTAGAATTGGAAAATGTGATTCTATGGTGGTGAAGTTGTCCTTTATAACCTCCATGTTCTTGATAACATTGTTTTGTACCTGAAATAAAGCGAAACTAATGTAGGATGAAGCTACCTCTTCTAAAAGTTTGGTATACGAAGATAAACTTCCTTCCACATTTTTTTGACTTGATTCTATTGTACACAGAGATTGGCTAAATTGAGATGCTGAAAGTATAACAAATGATTACGTTTGGTCAGTAGATTGATAAGTATATTACCAATCAGTAATATATAAATAAATGAGGTACTTCCTACTATGAGCAGTCTTCATTTTTAAATAGTACTTACTTACTTACACCTGTTACTCCTCGTGAAGGAGCATAGGTCGCTCACCAGCATTCTCCATCCAACCCTGTCCTGGGCAATCCTTTCCAGCTCCTTCCAGTTCTTATTCATCCTTTTCATATCTGCTTCTATTATCCGACGTAATGTGTTCTTTGGCCTTCCTCTTTTCCGCTTCCCTTCAGGATTCCAAGTTAGAGCTTGCCTCGTGATGCAGTTTGACGATTTGCGTAATGTATGTCCTATCCATTTCCATCGTCTTTTCCTAATTTCCTCTTCAGCTGGAAGTTGGTTTGTTCTCTCCCACAGAAGGCTATTGCTGATGGTATCCGGCCAATGGATGTTGAGTATCTTGCGTAGACAGCTATTTATAAATACTTGTACTTTCTTGATTGTGGTTGTTGTAGTTCTCCAAGTTTCAGCTCCATACAGTAGAATTGCCTTGACGTTCGTATTGAAGATTCTCACTTTGATATTGGTTGAAAGTTGTTTTGAGTTTCATATGTTCTTCAATTGTAGGAATGCGACCCTTGCATTTTTAAATAGTGAAATGAACGTATCTGACGGAGTTAGCAAAATTAACTATTGTTTTGAATTATCATATGATTTAATATGGAAAAAGTCAGGTTAGTAGAAAAATCTGCTCAAATGTTGTTTAATAGGTCATTGTTTTACATGACCAGTTGTGATGAGATGAACAGTGTTCATAGTACTTATTCAATAAAGAATAACGTTACTCGTTTATGAATCATAGTTACATGTATTTCGCCTTAAGCGAAACTACAGTTGGATGGATGTTAATACTATTTTTTTGCCCAAACCAAGATAGATGAAGAGAGGTTCAAACTTGCGATCAAATGTTTAGTAATCGAATTATTTAACAACTAGGGTACCCATCTACTTCAGTAAACTAGTCTTGTTATCGTACCTAGTATGTAATGTAATAAAAACTCTCAGTCCAGAAATAATTTCATGAAGTATAGTCTTCTTAGACTACTCTTCCAATGTGTGACTATGTACTCACCTTTCCATTGTCACTGCTTAAAATTTGACATTAAGCTTGATTAAAGGTCTAAGTAATAATCTTATTCCTTCCAATATTTTAACTTTGCAAACAGGAAGTGTTTTAGTCAGCTTTTTGTAGTAAACACATGTGGCTGTGCTACGATGTACATGTTATGGTCGTTGGAATAAATGGATAGAGAATTGGTCAACAGATCGAACGCGATGATCCAAGATGGTCTGTTGATAATTTCTCACGAGACCGAATTGTTGGTGCACGGCCCTAAATAAACGAATATCGAAAGTGATGCAACCGACTAGCGGAATGGCCTTTCTTAAGTAAAATAGTATACTTTTACACAAAATATTAGATATAAAATCCAACACGAACAGATGTCATCTAAATAATTGACTGAAGGATATGAGCTCCGAAATATGTACTCAACTCTTCACTTGGATTAAAACTTACGCCTTTTTGCCCAGCTTAACCCATATAATATACAATCTGTGAGGTCTGACGAGATGCATTCAATTTCGAGTCCCGATGCTTTCCAATCAAAATATTTTCTAATATTGCATTTGGATATTATTTAGTAATCGGAATTTACATTTGTTGTTTTGAATCAAATAGTGGGGTTAGGTTTTGTGAAATTTTAGGTCTAATCAAAGTGATAGTTGTGTGAAGTGGTATTAGTATTCAACAGAACAGTTCGTGATCTGTTGCTTACATGAGTCATTCAAGAAATACAATTGGCTATCCAGCTCAAGAGCCAAGGTAGGGGGTTACGTATTCTATTTTCAGTCATACTATTTTTGTAAGGACTCAATTATTTGGTCAGACTGAGGTACACGAAGTGCGGTCCAACTGTTATAACCATTATATCATCTCCCCACAGTAAATACAAAACAAGAATTTCAGAAAGCGAACAAGATAAGTTACATGTCAAATTAATGTTCTGCTTACCTTCTTCATGTAGTGATTTTAGGGTGCTAAGTCGTTCTACAATCACAGGTAGACTTTCGGCTACATCATTCCATTTCTTTACCAGTTCGTAAAGTTCTGCGATCTAAAGTTAGATAATAAGTGTATTTGTTCATATTATGAAGAATTACGGTCGTCACTCAGCAAGATAGCTCTTTATTGTTCAATAATTCGGTTAAAAAGAAGGGTGGAGCCTTAAGCTCTACTGGTAATCTCTAATCAGTGAACTTACCAAGGTGTATATAAATAAAGTGGCTAGAATTTCATCTGTTAAAAATATCCTGTGGAAACGCTAGTAGTATAGCAAATAATACAATAACTCACTTAAAAATACCAAAAATATGCATAACTAGATTTGTTTCTAATTTATTTAGTTTTCCACGTTAGTTTTGAAAGCTTTTAAACTGAATTTTAGTATTAAATCTGTTAATAGAAGTAAAAAAACTAGAATCCTTATACTATATTCTGTTTAGTTCTTATATAAGAATAACATATTTTCGAAATAAATAGGCTAATATTAATTCCACTGCACAACAGTGCTTATTAATGCAGATGGTGTAGATATACCATATCAATCACTTCGAAATATACTTAATAATTTGCATGTACTTCTCTAAGCTAGTATAGTAGGAGGGTGAAAAGACGATCCTGGATTCGCTTTCTGAAGAAATTTTAGATTAAGATGGACCCCGCATCCTGTCACAATGAAACAGATTCATTCATCTTTTGTCTTTCTTTGACCTTTTAAAATTATTTAGTACCTCCTATTAAGTAGGTTCATTATTTTCTTGGTGATCACATTTTCTACGGCATATCTTTTTTGATAATACTCCTACTTTTGTACTGATCTTGAAAGTTTTATCCTCCTGCCTTGGCTGTGATTTGATGAATTGAACTAAAGCAAATATGTCTAGTTCTACGATACCTACGGCTGACCGACAGTAAAGTTTTTTGCTAACCTGAAAACTTCAACTTTACTTTCTCGAACAAGAAACTGTCAGCCATAAATTTGGAAGTAAAACGTACAGGCAAATTATGAAAAGTTATTTCAGACAGCGATGGATGCAGTTAACAGTTCGACCAATTTATGTGCAAGTAAAACTATGATGAGCCCTTACAACTAGACAGAACTCATTCTTAGCATATTGCAAATGGGTGACATATAGAAGCAACACAACGCAAGGCATAAACTCACTTTATTTTGCATATCATAGTCCGCGATAGCCTCTCGCTTTTCAGTAACAGCTTGTAACTTCCCCTGCAATGATGTTAAGCGAGCTTCGATCATATCAAGATATCCCTGCTGAAATAACGACGAACGAGCGGACAGACGCGAACACGCTTCTAGAAGACCATGAGTAGTTGTATCTGCTGTTAGAGCTGTGAGTTTGTTAGGATCTGGCTGGCCAATAAGAGCTTCGATACGATGAATCCGACGATCGATATCCGCCACCTAAAATTGTACACTAATTTTAGGATCTTGCAAAGCCATATGTTTAGACAAGTTCAATATAAAACCATCAGATTTAAAATAACGTCCTGGATTTTGGCACAAAATTCATTCATCCACTTAGTTAAAGTGTCTTGGTGTTTGAGCGGATGTCAGTTCGTGATGAAAACCCTAAACACTAACTGCGAATCATAATCTTTGTTCTTCATAAGGGTTCCCAAACCTCATCTAACCCTAGCAAGCAGGTGGACATTCGCAAAGTCACTTAAGTGTCGCTCAAAGGTCGTCCATAAATTATAGTCTCACACTTTTTTACCTTACTGGAAAACTTTACTCAGAACATGTTGATCCAAACATAGATTCAATCCAATCTGAAAACGAGTCTAGTTTTGTTCGATATAACCTTCGACAGGTTTTTTAAAACACTAAACGGAATTACTTTATCGATGCTCTTTTTGTAAGAATGAATAGAACTACCTTTTCAGCAGCAATTTGAATGCTCTATTATGCTTTCTCAATATCCTCAACCCAGATTCCCGATAAAGATCTCAGAAATTACTACCAGTAAAGCTTTCATACTCATTTTCAAACTCCGCAGCAATGGCTTAGTACATAAAGCACACCAATCAATCTTCATATTTGAAACGTCTTAAACGTTTTGATTTGGTAACCTGGTAATATCACACCACTTACATAGGGAATGTGGCTTAAATATT